GTAGATGAACGGCCCTTGGCCCCGCCCTCCTCCCCGCCCTCGCCAGGTCATCTGGATCCCTATTGGCTAACGGAGGAGAGAGGCGGAGCCAGAGGGCGGGCCTCCTCCCATCTAGGGCCGGACTTCCGCCTTCGGGGCTTCTGGCCGCCTTACCCCCGCCGGGTGTTGGCTAATGGCTGCTGCCGCGGGGCCACTTTCCAGTCCCCGATCCCCTCGCCCAACCCAAAGCTTGGTAAACCCAAGGTCTCAGGAACAATGGATTTTCCTCGCTATGAAATTTCTTTCTCACTAACTTTTCCGTCCGTCTTATCTGCTCTCATTGGTAGTTTCAGTTTAGCCCCCGCTCATTAATAATAACAACAGTAACATTACGGATTGGGCGTTTTCCAAAATCCTTTTCGGCATTATTTCATTTGATATTTGATATTCAAAGAGCCCCTCCATCCCCTCTTAAGGTCTTCCAGCTCCCAGAGCGCGATGGCACCTCCAACTGCTTCATTAGGGGACACTCATTTCCTTGAACCCAGTAAAGCTGATCAATCCCTCCTTGAACTCCTATTTTCTCTTAACTTTCCCAACTACACACTCCCCTAGTTTCTTCCTACATATTGGCTTTTCCTTTGTGGTCTCCTATGCTGGTCCTTCTGCCTCAACCAGACATCAACGTGGGAGGACTTGATCTTTTCCAATCCCACTGCTTGCTTATCAGGCGATTCCCAGTCTTTACAGCCTGCCCATCTCCCCTGAACTCCCAACTATATTTCCACTTGTCCTCCTGTTTTCACACAGGTACCTAACAGGCAAGACAAACTCATTTTTCCAAAACAGAGCTCTTAACTTTCTCACCCCATACACACCCATTTTTCTCCTGTCTTCATCACCTCATTAAATGGCACTACCAATTTTTTCGTTTGGAGTCAAAAACCAACACCATGTCTTTGATTCCTTTTACACCTACCACATCCATTCCACCATCAAAACTTGTTATTTCTGCCTCCAGAATGCATTTTGAATGTATCCAATTTCCTTCATCCCTGTCCCTACCCTGGAGTACCGAGATCATGGTTTTCCATCTCTCCTCTGAATTACATTAGTTACCTTCTAGTCTCGCTGGATTCCTGGCTTCTACTCTGGTCCCCCTTCCATCTTTTCTCTAAACAGCAGCAGGCTGAGCTTTTCAAATACATAAATTTGCTACTGCTCTAGTTAAAAGCCCTCAATGCCTCCCTGGACTTAGATTAAAATCCACGGCTGGGGCCTTCCTGGTGGCGCAGGGGTTGAAGACACAGTGCCATCAAGCTATCTGGCAGCCACCACAGCAGGAGTTCCATCCCCTGGCCAGGGAGCTGACCTACATGGCACAGCAGACCTCTCCTGCCTTGCCTGCTACTCTCCTCAGCAGTGTATTTCACTAGATCTGCCTGTTCTGCCCCTGACTGTCTCTGGTGAATCCTTTCACAACCCCGCCCCATACCTCTGGCCTACACCCCAGTTCTTGTATGCATAAATAAATAAATCAAAAAAATAAATAAATGAAATCCATGGTTTTTCCATAGCCTTAGGACTACTCTCTCTGTTCTTTCTACTGTCTACCACTTTCTCCCAGGCTCTGTCACACTGGTTTCCTTGGTGTTCCTTGAACATCTAAAGCTTAGTCCTAAGCCAGGGTCTTTGCACTTGCTCTTTGCTCTTCATGAAATATAATCCTCCTTCCACCTCACCTCTTTGTGCGGTTATCTCTCATCTTTCAGGTCTCAGCTATATCCACTCTGCAGAAAGGCTTCTCCCACCCACACGCCGTATCTAAAATGGGTTTCCCAGTTACTATTTTACTACCCTGTTTATTTCCTTTAGAGAACTCACAGCCTGTTGGTAACACGTTCATTTACTTCTTTGCCTATCATCTCTCCTAGCATTATGAGGGCAGTGATCATGCCTGTTACGTTTACAGTCCTGTTTAAACAGTACCCCAGACGAGGTAGGCACTCAACAGGTATTTATTGAATGGCCGAATCAACGAATAATGAAATTATTCTCTCCAAGTCCTGATCTCTCCCCTCCCCTTTATTATCTCTTGAATCTGTGCCTGCTTCAATGTTTCTGTGGCCCCCTGCTTGCAGGAGGAATTTCAACCCCTTGGGTCAGGATTCAAGGACCTTAGTGCTCTAGCTCTTGCTGCCTTTTTGGTGGTGTCTTTCTGAATTTCCAACCACCACTGCATGCATGACTGCACAAATCTGCAGCTCAGAAGGTTCTACAAGTCCTCATTTTTTGGGTGCTGTTCCCTCTTTCTGAACTCCCCCTGCTTCCCTATCCTCCTGTGTAGCTGACCCTGTTAGGATAAAGCTCAGTCACTCCAGCCCCTCCTTTGGGAACAGTGATCACAGCACGCTGTGTACTTATTCACCAGAGCCCTTCTCAGGATTTGTCTACCCTCCTACTGGTCACCAGCTCTACAAGGCAAGGCCTGGATCTTGTGTGGCCTGGTCACATAATGATGGCAAAACAGGTCATTTAATAGAGAGCTCAGATTCTGGAGTCAGGGAGATTTGAGTCTTTGCTCTACCACTCACCAGTCAAAGGCCCTTGAACACATTCAAGCCTCTAATTCTTAATCTGTAATGCAAGGTTAACAATTGTTTCTGTTTCCTTTTGGGAGGATTAAATGAGATACATATGAAGACTCTAGTACAGTGAACAGAATACAGAGGCTCCCTAAATTCTCGAGTGAATAACTCAGGATGAAGTATTGGAAAGCACTACGTTTTGTTGATTAAGTGGTGCACATGCAAAATAGACTGCATCGTTTCCGCAGCCAAAAATGTGTAATGATTTCCCTTCCTGAGGTTAAAATGTAGTCTCCTTAACACAGCCTTCAAGACCCTCTCTACACTGAACTTTGGCCTCTCTAGATACACACACACACATACAGTTTTATGCCTTCATTGCATTGTTCACATTGGCACCTTTTTCTAGAATTCTCCCTCTCTGTCCTGGTTTTGGTGCCTTTCTCTGTGCATTTACTCTCATATCTAACACATGATGTTCTTATCTGCTTACATGTCTTTCTCTCCTGATAGAGGAGAGAATGGTCCTACCATATATCTCAGACATTACTGTAGGGCCTGACAATTAAGGGAATAAAACATTTGTATTGAATGAATGCATGTGATGTGGAGCATGGCCTGGATGGAAAAAGTGCCAGAGTGATTATCAGTGACTTCTTAAAGTGACAGAGCTGTCTGGATATCAAAATTGACCTTATCCCCATAACTACACTGGGGTGCTTCTGTGTAACATGAATTCCCCAGGGTCTCTGATCTCCCAGAGGTGCAATCTGAGTTTTCAGATATGGGATCTTCTGAGCCCTCAGCATGGGTGACATTAGTTGCACAGCTCTAAAATCATGTGGTGGCTGCAACACTGACATTCTCTGATCCCAAGGTTGGATTTTTTTCATCCTTCTAGATAACGGAACTCAGGCCCAGACATTAGAAAAAAGTTTGCCCCATATCTTTTTCCCCCTTGACCCTTGGGCCCCAAGCCTGCTTTTCAGGACTACAAGTGAATTGGGAGTCTGGGAGTTTGATCAACTAGTACAGTAGCTGCTATGGCAGCCAGAGCCAAAGGAAGTCACCATCGATCCCACAAGCACTTAGTTTTTTTTTGCTGCAGCATGGGGCAGGGTTGACCCTGAGGGTGAGGAGGAAGAGGAGTGTGTGTGTGTGTGTGTGTGTGAGGGGGATGGTGTTGGATGCTGGAATGCAGCCAGTAATTTTCTCTCTCTGGTTCTATTTCTACAAGAGTAAAATGAAGGTTCAATGTATAACGACACCATTCTCTGCTGGTTCCTAACACCATTCCCCAACAAGGTTGTCAAAACTGCAAGACCCCATAGTATGGGGTTTAAGTTTGGGTGGCCCTGCGGAGAGGGACACAGCTCTGAGCAATGCTCAACGACAGTAAAACACTGCATTTGGGGAACCCCTGAAAGCCAGGGGGTACAGGTCTTCTCCCAAACGTACCTCAAATTCCAGATAAACTGCCCCAGTTATTCCCGTTATACAGCTCTCCCCACCTCACAGGAGCCTCCCCACGGTGACTCAAACTCCAGGTCCTGCCAGTAGTTTTCATGGGGAAGAAGACCAGGTTGTCGCCACTGCCCTGACATCTAGGAGGAAAGAGGGGGCGTCTCGGTGCCCCCATCGTTGGCCTGTCCCGGGCCGCTGGGGTCAGCCCGCGATCCCAGCCCCCTCGGGTCGCGAGACCTACACGGCACAGCCCCTCTCCGGGTACCGCCCCGCCCCGGCCCCGCCCTTTTGGTCCCACCCGCATCCCCGCTGGGGCTGGCCGGAAACCCCCTCCCCCTGCACGGTCCCTTGCACCCCTTCATCCCTTCCAGCCCCTCAGCGGGTTAGGGAACCCTCTCAGCCCCGGCCCGCCCTCTTCCTCCGACCTCGACTCCTCCCTCCAGCTCCCTGACACGCGCCGGCCCCTCCCGGGCCCCGCCCTGGGCCCCGGCCCCGCCCCCCCGTTTCCCGCCCCAGACCCGGGCCTCTCGGCCCCCCAACTCCCTCCCCAGGCCCCGCCCCCGGCCCCCGGAAGCCTCTCCCCGCCCCCGGCCCCGCCCCCCCGAAGTTTCTTGGGCCCCGCGGCAGCCGGCGGGACACAACCCCGAGAGCCGCCGCCCGGCCCGCGCGGATGGAGGCGGCCGAGCCCGCGCGGCGCCGGCTGTGAACCGCGGAGTGGCCGCCCCTCGACGCACCCGCCATGGAGGAGGAGGTGAGGGCCGGCCCGGGCGGGGCGCCTGGGCTGGGATCTTTGAGCCCCTCACGGCGGTTGGGGTCCAGCGATCAGGCCCTTGTCCCTCCCCGCCCGGCTCCTGCCGGTCTCCGGATCCCCCACCGCCACCCCGCCGGGCGGAGCCCCGAGTGGTGAGGCGGGCGGGGGTCGGGATCCGCGTCCTGTGCGGTGCGGGGTGTCCCTCGCCCTCTTTGGCTTCTCTCACCAACTGGGGGCGGCGTGGTTGTTATTGCTCCCATTGGACTGACCGGGAGACTGAGGCTCTAGTCAGTTTGAGGACTGGCGGAAAGTGACCGGGGTCGCTGGTCTCGAACTCCCGTTACTGTTGATGCCCAGTGCTGGCCAGGTAGGATCCTGAAGGGGCAGACTGGTGTGTTTTTGTGTGTGTTGGTCCCTGGACTGCTGGAGTCCCTATCTCAGGAAATCTTGAGGCCATGAATGCATCTGGTGACTGGTGGACTGGATCCCTTACATTTTTCTTCGCCGTTATTTGTTCCTGTGTGTCTCCTTTCTCCTGTTTTCTTCCCTGTTCCTAAATCAAGTCCGTGTAGGGGCTGATCCTCCCCTCTACCTTCCCCACATCGCTGGGGGGGAGCTAATTTCCTGGGGCAGCTGGGCCACTGGATCAACGGTACCCTGGAGCCTCCCTCTTGCCCCTCAGGGCCCTCTTGGGGTCAGGCATTCTGTGACATCCCCTCCCCTGCATTACTTGCAAACTCAGTAGTCCAGCAGCAGCAGCATCCAAGCACACAGCAAGCACTTAATATCTGTCTGTGGAATAAATTAGAAGGAAAGGCCTACTGAGTCTAAGGACTTTTGTTTCTAGTCGCCTAAGGGGAGTCTCAGCTTCTGTCCCTCCCAGCCCAAGGGAAGTGGATGTATTTGCTTCACTTTTAGGGCAACCCTGGCCAGCTGAGGGGACCAGGCTTCTGTGTCTCTGTCAGTGACCATCACTCTGCTTTCTGGGGTCACCTCGCTGCCCAGGGTTAGCTAGGCCAGGGCTTGCATTTCTGTGGGATGGTAGATAAGTCACTTCCCCACTTAGCCTACATTTCCTCTTCTATAAAATATAAGGCCCGGTCTCCTCCCTGGGTCCTGATGGTATAATTGTGGCCCCTTTTTTCAGAGTGGATGCAAGTAGGGGGCAAAGTCAGGCCACTATGATTTGCTGTGGTTTCTTGCTGACAGGGGTGGGGCTGCCCTTCCCCTCAACATCCCAGGCCCCTGCTGCTGGGCTAGGTTCTCTGGTCATGGCCCCTCCCCTTCTCCCAGAGGATGTGGGATGGGATTACTCCATCTCCTGATCTGCTCTGGCCCCCAATTAAGGGAAGTTCTCCTGGGGCCTCCTGGGCCGATGGTTTGTCTTGTGGCCAGCCCAGCCCAACCCAGCCACGCATTCTCTCTAGTCCTGAGCCTAACATTGCCACTTACTGACTCCCAGATGCCCAAAACTCCCTGCATACCTGGGTTGTCTAAAGTCTTGCCCACCTTCTCTCTGGACAGCCAGGGGCTCCCTGTCCTCCTCTTCCCCTTTGGCATCCCTAACTCTTTTCCTGCTATTTCTTCTCCCTCTAGCTTCTCCTTGTTTCTTGAGGCCTTAGTGGCCATCTTTGTTTCTCTAAACCACTTCTTAGATCACAGTCACTTGCTCAGATCACAGTCACTTGCTCTGCCCCATGAACCCAGGCTGACCTCATCACCTTGCACCCACAAAGCTGCTTTCAGCCTTCCCCCTAGCTTTGGGTTTCCTCCTGGTGGTCCAATACCCTGGTGCCAAGCCCTCTTATCCTCCATGACCTGGTGCAATGAGCTGGTAGTCCCTATCAGACGAGGCTTGGTGAAAGTCTCTGTGTGAGCACTGGGCAACTGTCCACCTGTGTTTTCAGGGCGTCAGTTTGCATACCTGTGAAATGAAGGAGGTCTGCCTATTCTGCTCCCTACTCTGCCTCTGGTGAACCCTCTCACTGCCCTCCCGTACCGCTGGTCTGTACCCCAGCTCTTGTATATATAAATAAATAAAATAAATCTTTAAAAAAAAGAAATGAAGAGGTGGGTGATCCACAAATACAATGATGTATGTAAAAACTTTGAAAATTGCAAATATCATTGTGCGGGATTGTCACTGCAGCTGAAGTAAGGAGTAGTGCCAGGTGTTGAGGACCAGAGGTGAATCTGACCCTATCTGGTAGGCATGTACCTGGCACCCTCCCCTCCCCCTCCAAGTTGATAAGGGCCATAAGATGTCAGTGGCTAGTCTTGCAGCTTCAGGGTGGCCATCATGTCCAAGAGAAGGGCCCTAGTTTTTTTGTTTTTGTTTTTTTTTTTAAAGATTTATTTTTATGTATGCATACAAGAACTGAGGTCTAGGTCAGAGGTGCAGGGGGGTGAGAGGATTCACCAGAGAGAGTGGGGAGCAGAACAGGCAGATCCACTAAAACACACTGCCGAGGGGAGCAGTGGGCGAGACAGGAGAGGTCTGCTGCGCCATGTGGGACAGCTCCCTGGCCAGGTATTGAACTCATGCTGCTGTGGCTGGCGATAGCTTGATAGTGTTGAGACTTTAACCCCTGCAAAAGGACCCTAGTTTACTCTCATACCAACAAAGTCAGAGTCCTTGGTGCCCTACTCATATAGGAAGGCCACCCCAAAGTCCTCACTTGAGGCAGGACTTCCTGTTTCTGCCCTGGGCTTCTGCTCCCTTGCCTTCTTGCAGAAATGCCTTTCCCTGTTTCCAGCTGCTAGTGTCTCCAGCTGCCCATTGCACTTACCTGTTTAGGGCAGCATCCTGGCCCAGAATTTGGCTAATCTCTCACCCTTTCTGGGCTGCACTTTCTCATTCTAAAGTAAAAAGGTTGAGCCTGTGATATTCTTTGTGCCTTTGCTTCTCTGAGCCAAGATGTATGTCTCTGCTTCCTCATACTTTCCAAACTAGCTCCAAGTCCCTATCCCACCAGAGACTGGGGGATGTGTCTCTCTGGGTGGGTGCTATGTCTCTCCTAACAGGTTGGGGCCCTCTCAGTTGAAAGATACCCACCCAACCCCCAGACCAGGGATTTCCTTGAGCAGGTCTGTGCTGCCCTCATCAGACTGACAGCTCCCCCAGGGCAGAGGCTGCGCTTGCTCTCTCTGATTGCCCTATTGTGGCGCTCTGACATGGTGGGTTCCTAGCAAATTTTGGTCAGAGCATCACTGGGTTTAGTTAAAGGGCAAAGGTCATCATAAACTCCCTTATGATGTGCGGTGCTGACAAGGTTTCTTCTGCTGGTCTCTGGTCTCTGTCATGGCCACTGAGTTGTGTTTCCACTTCTCCCTTCTGTGCACAGGGTCCAGGTGACCTGGCTTTTTTTTTTTTTTAAGATTTATTTTATTTATACAAGCGCTGGGGTACAGGCCAGAGTAGTGGGAGGGTGAGAGAATTCACCAGAGACAGAGCTGGAGCAGAACAGGCAGACAGACCAAAAGCACTGCTGAGGGGAGCAGTGGGCGAGACAGGAGAGGTCTGCGCGCCATGTGGGTTTCTCCCTGGCCGGCGGGGATTGAACCCACACTGCAGAGGCTACTGACAGCTTTGCAGAGCTGTGCTCAACCCACTGTGCCACTGGGGAGGGGAGGCCTTTTTTTTTTTTTTTTTTAAAGATGGACCCATAGACACCTCTGTATCGGGCAATGGGGAGCCAGACTGCGGCCGTGGGGTGCTTTGGGAGCTGCTCACAGTGGGGGCAGGGAGAGTGAGGATGAATGGGAGAGGAGAGGGTGAAACAGGAAGAGCAGTGGTCAGCTGGTCAATGAGAGGAGAGGAGGCCGAGAAACTGGGCTGAGCAGGACAAAACCTCCCCTGTGAGCCCTGCCAAGGGGAAGGGCCAGTTATGAAAACTTTCTGGGGCATAGCCAGGCCCCCTGGTGGGAGAGTGTCTGAGGGGTGGCAGAGGGCCTGTGTGGAGGGTAGCCGGCAAGCAGGACTCTGGCCTCCAACCAGGCCGCCCTTTAGGTGGCCAATTCCTGACAAGGAGACCCTTCCCTGGACTTTAGTTCTGGCCACCTCCAGCCCTCCATTTGTCACTCTCCCATCCCAAGCTGCCTTCTCCATCCCATCCTGGGCCCACCCATCCCTGGAGGCCCTAAGCTTGCTTCTTCAGCAGATCTCTTCATGGTATTCACTGAGTAGTGCTCTGCCTTACCAGGGGAGGACAGTGGTGAAGGCACAAGGTTCCAACCTTGCCCCTGAGAGCTCCAGCTGGCAGGAAGTTTTTACAGTCAGGCAGTGGGTGAGGCAGCTGGGCAGGGGAGGTCACATATGGAAGGGGCTGAGAAAGGGGGATGACAGCCCATGGAGGAAAAGCGTGAGGGATCAGGGCAGCAACTTCACTCTCTAGGCTATACTGCCTTGTTGAAGAGAGTCTATAGGCCCAGGAGGTGGCCAACAAACCAACAACCCTGTAGTTGCTGACAGAGGGGTGTGATGTATGGGGAGGGGAGTTGGGCACATGATAAGATGTGAGAGCCGGGCCTCCCCAGTGGCGCAGCGGTTGAGCGCTGGGTTGCGAAGCTGCCCGCAGCCTCTGCAGCACCGGTTCGATTCCTGGCTGCTCCCCGGCCACCTGAGGAGGGTCCCACATGGCGCGCAGACCTCTCCTGCCGCCCGCTGCGCCCCTCAGCAGTGTACTTCGGTCCTTCTGCCTGCTCTGCTCCCCACTCTGGCTCTGGTGAATTCTCTCACCTTCCCGCGCTTCTGACTGTACCAGTGCATGTATAAACAAAAACAAACGAACAAACAAATAAGTAAATAAATAAAACATGCCTCTATAAAAAAAAAAAAACAAGATGTGAGAGCCTCCTGAAGTCCCTTCCCCTGGTTATGATGGCTCATAACTGGCCTATAGGCAAGCCTCCTACTTCCTCATTCCTCCATCCGGGAAGACCTTTTGGGACCATTCCATTTCCCCATTTTTTTTGCCATCTATGAGCTAGGGTAAGACCCTGAGGGGCACCTCATGTTCCTGGAGCTCCTGGATCATTGAGGCCCAGTTGTTAAATCCAGAAAGGCCTTGTTGTGAATCTCAACAGGCCGAGGGAGAGAGTCCCTGAAAGTCAGAGGGGATGGCAGTGACGACAGTAACAATGACAACTTTCATTTACTAAGTGCAGGGGATCCTAGGCACTGCTTTATATGCTGTGTATTTATTCATCAATAAGCACTTATTAAACACCTGCTATCTGGGCCTTCCCGGTGGCGCAGCGGTTGAGCGCTGGGTTGTGAAGCTGCCCGCGGCCTCTGCAGCGCAGGTTCGATCCCTGGCTGCTCCCCGGCCACCGGAGGAGGGTCCCACATGGCGCGCAGACCCCTCCTGCCGCCCGCTGCTCCCCTCAGCAGTGTACTTTTGTCCTTCTGCCTGCTCTGCTCCCGGCTCTGGCTCTGGTGAATTCTCTCACCCTCCTGCGCTTCTGACTGTACCCAGTGCATGTATAAACAAAACAAACAAACAAATAAATAAATAAAATAAAACATGCCTCTATAAAAAAATAAATAAATAAATAAACACCTGCTATCTGCCAGATTCTGTCCAGGCACTGGAGATATAGAAGTAAACAAAACAGGGCCTCCCCGGTGGCGCAGCGGTTGAGTGCTGGGCTGCGAAGCTGCTCGTGACCTCTGCAGCGCCGGTTCGATCCCCGGCTGCTCCCAGGCCACCAGAGGAGGATCCCACATGGCGCGCAGACCTCTCCTGCCGCCCGCTGCTCCCCTCAGCAGTGTACTTCGGTCCTTCTGCCTGCTCTGCTCCCCGCTCTGGCTCTGGTGAATTCTCTCACCCTCCCATGCTTCTGACTGTACCCAATGCATGTATAAAAAAAACAAACAAGCAAATAAATAAATAAAAAGAAAAGATTTACTTATTAAAAAAAAAAAAAAAAAAGAAGTAAACAAAACAAAAATCACTGTTGTCATGGAGTTATAATCCTTGCAACTTCTATTAGTATCTCCCTCTCACAGATGAAGAAGCTGAAGCTTAGACAGATTAAGTGATTGAAGGTCTGTGAGACTTAGGCTTCAAAACTCAGAACCCTGCCACCCAGGTATGCATGTAGGAGGTGCAAGGCCCACAGTGAGACCCAGGCGGGGGCTCCCCTGCTATGACAAAGAGCAGGGAGGCTGTGCCCTGCCCAGCTGCTGACAGCTCAGCACACCTCGCTGTGCCTGGGCTTGTCTTTCCAAAGGTTTCCGTGGCCACTGGGTATCCCTGGGGAGAGGCGTGTCCCTTTTAACCGGGGCCCCTTTTTTGAGCTTTATGTAAATTATAAAGTAGTCAAAATTAGTCAGTGCTAATTTCCTCCTCGCATCCTCTAGGTTCTGACATGTTCTTGACCTCCCCCTCTCCTTCACCCTCCCCTTCGCACTCGCTGCTGGGGATACCAGTCACTGAAGTAAAGTGGTTAACTAATTGGGTGTATTTTTATTTTCATTTCATAGCTATTTTTTGAGCACCCATTATGTGTAAAAGAACAGTGCTGGGTGCTGGAGACCAGAGGTGGATTTGACCTTATCTGACAGGCATGTACCTGGCACCAGCCACCCAAGCCAGCCGTCCAGGGCCATACAATGTCCGTGGTTGATCTGGAGGTCCAGGGTGGCTGCCGTGTTCAAGAAAAGCGTTCAGATTTATCTCCCTTACTAGTCTGTAGTCAAAGGCAGAGAGTCCTTGGAGCCCTCACCAGATGGGGTGGCCACCCTGAAGTCCTGGTGTGGGGCAGGGATAAGGGTAGAGTTGCCTTCTTCGGATCAGGAGGTAGGGACTGCCGAGTAGCTTCTCTTGAAGCGGGGGCTAGAGAGGCAGATTTTCATTCTGCCTTCTTCCTCCCAGCCTTTGCACTTGCTTGGAGCTCCTCTTCTCTGGGGAGCCTTCCTGGGTCACCCAGAGCAGAACCAGGTCCCTCACTGTCCTTCTCACTCCCCTGTTCACCGTTTCCTTCATAGCATTTCATACTTAACGTGTGTGTATGTCTGGGTGTTCAGCTCCTCCTTCCCTGCCTTATGAGGGCAGAGGCTTTATGTTTGTTCTTCTCCACCTGCTTCAGCATCCGATGTTGGAAGTGCTCAGCACATTTGTTGATTGGTTGAATGAGCACGTGGGTGACAGAAATGGGGGAGGAGAGCCAGTTTGAATTCTGGCCCCATCCCTCCAGCTGTGTGACTCTGGCAAGTCATCTCCCCTCCCCAACTTCAATTTGCTGTGACCTATGGATAATGATGCTTCCTCCTTGGAGGGTGGTTGTACGTGAGAAGATGTGTGTAAAATGTAATATGGTAACTCCATCCATGTATGTGGTTGCTGCTATTATTACTGTTGTTGTATTGCTGTTATTACTGTTATTTCTTCTTCTTCTTCTTTTTTAAAGATTTATTTATACAAGCACTGGGTACAAGTCAGAAGCGCAGGAGGGTGAGAGAATTCACCAGAGCCAGAGCAGGGAGCAGAACAGGCAGACTGATGAAATACACTGCTGAGGGGAGCAGCGGGCGAGACAGGAGAGGTCTGCTGCGCCATGTGGGACCCTCACTGGCAGCCGGGGATTGAACCAGTGCTGCAGAGGCTGTCGGCAGCTTCGCAGCCCAGCGCTCAACTGCTGCACCACCAGGGGAGGCCTTGTTATTACTATTATTTCTGATATTGGATTAAGAATTCTGCTTTGGGGGTCATGGATGACATCAGTAGGAACCCACAGAGACACAATTCTTGCATGACTGGTGGACCATGCGGCCCTTGGCAGCAGCCCTCATGACATGTCCTGGTTCTGTCTTACAGGGCATCAAGGAGGGTGGTGAGAAGCCTCGGGGAGCCCAGACTGCAGACAAAGCTGGCTGGATCAAGAAGAGCAGTGGGGGCTTCCTCGGGCTCTGGAAAGACCGCTATCTGCATCTCTGCCAGGCCCAGCTGCTGGTCTGTGAAAATGAGGTAAGGACCTCTCCAGCCATGAGGTTGGGGTGCCCAGGGCAGGAGGTGAAGTGAGGGCAGCCGCCCAGCTGGTGGATCACAGAGCCTAGGCTGCTCCACTTCAGCATCTGTCAGCTTGGACAAGTTTCCCATCCTCTCTGGATCTCTGCAGTATGGGGATAGCACCTCTAGGTGCAAGTCTCTTGGATGAGGGGCTCTTTAAAATGTGTATGTGTCTGGCTGTTTATGTTCATGAGCGCTTCTCTGCGGGCCCCTGTCCCCGGGCTAAGTTCCACATAAGTCAGTATTCCAGAAATCTCCATTCAGCAAGGAGAGTAGAAATACTTAGTATCCATGTGTGTTTGGAGCTTTGTTCCCTTTATATGATGCTCTATTTTTAAAGATTTATTTATTTATGCATGCAGGAGCAAGGGTGTAGGCCAGAGGTGTGGGGGGTGAGAGGATTCACCAGAGCCAGAGCGGGGGGCAGAACAGGCAGACTGACTGAAATACACTGCTGAGGGGGGCAGCGGGCAAGTCAGGAGAGGTCTGCTGCGCCATGTGGGCAGCTCCCTGGCTGGGCATTAAACTTGTGCTGCAGTGGTGATAGCATGATAGTGCTGAGACTTTAACCACTGCGTCATCAGGGGAGGCCCTGTATGTTGCTGTTGGTGGTTCCATGAGCATGTCACACTCCTCAGAGGATACTGAGGCCTAAGGTGGCAAAATGCCCCTTCAGCATCTCAGTAAAAGAAGGTCTAGAACCAAGTCCAGTGCTCTCTCCATTCAGAGACCAGTGCTAGCAAACTCCAAAACTTACCTTTGGTGCAAATCCTCTAAAATAGGCTAAATGTCCTCTGCTTTCTGCTACAAATGGTGCTGGTTTAAGTGGAGTCTTTCCTTTAGCTCCTGTTTTCAGACCGTCTCACACTGCCAGACCTTGCTTTGTAGTTTTTCTTTTTCCTTTTACATCAAGCTGCTAGTTGCCACTTTGCTGTCCCTGTGCCCCCCCACCCCCACCCTCCACCTCACATCTTCCCACTTCCGACTGTGTCCCTTCTCATTTCAGCAGCCTTGGGGCTTGAGTAACTAACAGTGCTACAATTGGGTGTAAAGTATGAGCCCATAAAGCTCTAGGTGAAGATCTGAGGGGGAAAAGTGACTTTTACTTTTGTAGATACTGTTTGGGTTCTGAGAATAAAGCTGTTCGAGGGCTGTTTTACTGAAAATGGGCTAGCACCATATGCCTTTGACAGATGGAATACATGGGGAAGAATTGGCCTGGGAGCAGAGGAAGGAGGATCCTGCCTGTTCCCCATCAGCCGCTCTCAGCGTGCCTCAGGATATTTTGGCAAAGTCATAACTGTCCCAGACCAAGAAAGATTGGGCAACAAGATCTCAGTGTTTAGAGCAGCTGCCTTTGAGAAGAGCCTTGTCTGTCCTTCCCAAGATCCCCATGCTCATGAAGTTGGGGTGTCAGTGAATCAGGAGGACAAGGAGATGGAGGAGGACAAGAGGAAGGGGGTGTGCAGGCGGCCCTCCAGATGTTCTGTGCTGCTGCTGTCACCAAATTAGGATGTGCGTGGAGGCAGCAGGAGGGTATTTTTATAAATAAAGAGGGTTGTCACAGCTTCCTCCAGTCCTAGCTGCTGAAAGAGTTGAGTGACAGGTCCCCAGCTGTCAACGCGTCAGGGGCTGCCAGACTTGTCCTGGGTTGCCTCTCCACATCTGGCCACGGCTGGGAGGCAGGAAGGATTTCACATCCCCCAAACAAGAAAAACCCAAATCCTGCTTTAAACAAAAATCACTATTAAAAACCTCAGTGCAATTTCAAGAACTTAGCACTCATGGGTGGGGGAGCTTGGCTCAGGAGCAGGAATTGAGAAATGCTTATTAGTTCAATTCCTCTTTCTGATGTAAGGAACTAGGCGAGTGCGAGTGGCTCTTGGCTGTTTCTTTGCCGTCCGTGAGGCTGACATTCCAAAACCGCTGCCCCCACCCAGTGCCTGCTGGCTTATCGGTTTTTCTGAGCTGTGAAAGGGCTGGGATGATTCAGCGTTTCGGGTGGGGAGAAGAGACCCAGGACAGACAGTTGTGTGTGGTTGGGTGGTGGAGGTGGACTGACTTTTGTTCCCAGACAGAGGGAGATGCTTTTAGGCCTGTGGGTGTTCAACTGGGGGAGGTCTATGCACGCAGAGTGCGGGCGGGAGGTTAGCTATGTTCTCTGGGTCCTCGCGACCCATCCTTCCTCAGGCAGCTTCCTTCCTTTGGATGCCCCGTGGGAGGGGACTTCTGGGGTCTCATTCTGAGTCAGGCATTCAGTTCAGCAAACTGGTCCAATATATGGCCCTCTTTTGAGAGCTGCTTCTTGCAGGGTACAGGAGGGGGAACCAAAAGGGGAGCAGATAACACACAGCACAGGGTGGAGAGAGCCAGCAGGGAATCAGGACTGTTCATACCCACAGCAGGATGTCCTCAGCACCTAGAAAGTGTCTGCACCTGGCATCTGCTTTGTGGCTGGGGAAACTTGGGAGGGAGAGAACACCAAGACTCAGGCTTATGGGAAGTGGACCGGGAAGCTTCTGGGAGCACATGGACTTTATTGGCCTTTGCGATGAGTGGAGGAACCTAGAAGGAATTGGAGACAAGGGGTTGGAAAGACACCATATTGATGGGAAAGATCAGATCACCCTGGCTATCTGTTTACCGTTCCCTGAGGGGCTGAAGAGAAAAATCAGTTATTCACCTAAACTGCACAATCGTCTACTTTAAAAAGTGCCGATATCAGGCTTTATCCCCCAGAGATCCTGATGTAATTGATCTGGGATGTTGCTTGGGCATTGGGGTTTTTCAAGTTTCCAGGCGCCCCCACGGTTGAGAATCTCTGGCTCGTGAACTCTCACATAGGTCAGAATCACTTGGAGGCTCATTGAGACACAGATTGGTAGACCCATGCTCCTGAGTTAATGACTCAGCAGGACAGCCCCTGCAAATTTGCATTTCTCATAGGTTCTCAGCTAACGTCGCTGCCCCAGGTGCCACACTTCGATGACCCTATGAGCAGAATAACCTGTTGCTAAGACCTAGTGCCTGACTGGCTGGACAAGTGTGGTGCTGGGAAGGGCACTGGCCTGGGAGTCAGAGGGTGTGCGCTTGGGGCTGGTCCTGCCTCCTCTGTTTGGTCTGTGCCCCTAGTGCAAATCACTTCACCCCCAGGTCTCATCTCCTCATCTATAACAGGAGCCAAATGCTGGGGCTCAAGGCTTTCAGGATGACTGAGAGGCTCAGGAGAATCTGGGGTATAAGGGTGCTTGCCAAGTGTCAGGGTTTCTTGTACAGGCAGATTATTATGGAGGGAAATTGAGACATTTTCTATGCACACAGCAGAATCACTGCCTTACAGTTATCTCACCGAAAACTGCTGAGCATGGAGGCGGGCAGTCTGGGCAGGTGCTCTTGCTGACTCTGTGCATCTCTGCGTGATGTCCAATAGCTAGAGTTGCCCTATGGTTGCGGCTACCAGTGTGCCTAGTGATGAGACCTCAGGGCTGCTGACTGGAGCCCCTGCCCTCTCTGTTGTGCAACCGTGGAGAGTGGCTTCTCACCCCAAGCCAAGGGTCATTGGAGGAAGATGCCAAATGGGGAAGTCAAGTCAGGATCACTGTGGTGAAGGCAGGCATGTAGCCTCAAATGTGCGCTGCTCATGCTTCCCTCTGGGGCTCTGCCTGGAAAACCTTTTCTATTTTTCCTTATTTTGTCATATCTGCTCCCTCTTGCTGGCTGCCTCTTCTGCACATCTCTGCCTGCCTGCATAGGCTCCCAGGTCCCCTGTTCTAAGACTCCCCACCTTCCCTTCTGTTTCCTCCTTTGGTCTTAGGCACGTTTGAGTCTGCTGTGCTGTGATCGTCATTTCTTGTGTGGGTGACAAGCTTGGGGGCAACCCTCCAACCAGCACATCTCTCTACTTGCCAGGTTCTGAATACCCCTATTAGTGATTGATGATTACCTGAGGTACCCAGAGATACCTTCGCTGAATGGGATCAGTGTCTGGAAAGGGTCTGTGTATGTCTGCCTCTCACCAGTTCATGTCCCCTCTACCTCCCTCTCCAGGACGAGCAGAAGTGTGTGGAGACTGTGGAGCTGGGCTCCTATGAGAAATGCCAGGATCTCCGGGCCTTCCTTAAGCGGAAACACCGCTTTATTCTGCTGGCAACAAGAACTCACAGTTCTCCAGGCAACAAGGTAGAGTGATGCTGGATGCAGCCTGCAGGCTTTCTGTGGCGTGCAGCTGAGGATCAAACCCAGGGGCCCCCATGGGCTGCATCTTTTTGCTCATTTTGTCTTGGAGATGCCCCGTTTCTGGTTGATAGCCAGTGCATTCAGGGAGCTCTGTTCCCCTCTTCTCTTCCAGGCCCTGGGGCCTCCTTCTAGGCTGCAGTTGGAAAGTAGCCTTTGGGAGGGGGGACCCTTGGCACAGGAGGAGGCCCTGGGTGGAGACAGAGAAGCTTGGGGATGAGATCTTCACCCCAGCAGGCCTCCAATGCCCCGATGTAGTCTGGAGCAGAGGAGAGGGTGTGGGCTCCCCTTTATCCCAGAAGGGCCACTCCTCCTTCCCTCTGCCCTAGACTCAGTGCAGCCCCCCAGCTCTCCGACCTGTGCTTTTCTTTCTTGGCTGAAGCTGGAAAAGATCTCTTGCTTGAGAGAGCCCTTCCCTGGGACATGCTGTGTGTGCAGATGAAGTTCGCTGCTTGCACCACGTTTCTCTGGCGGGGAGTCTGGGTGGGTGTTGACACATGGTGTGGCTTCGCAGATGTCAGGAGAGAGTTCAGATTTGAGGCTCTCGCCAGCTCACGCCCGTCTGCAGCTGAGCCACGCCTCACTCCAATCTCTGCTCGTCATGTGGAGCCTCGCAGGGTGTGGCTGAGTCATGGAGACTGGGGATTGGGGAGCTGTTCTGGTCTGGGCCTACCGGAGGCCATTCTGTTACTTCCCTGGGAGCCCGGTCTAGTTCCTGGGGCTCTGAGCCCTGGAGGAGACCCTTTGTCTGACTTGGTAGTGGGTAGGGGCAGAGAAGCAACTGTGAGTTCTGATACCAGGGATTGAGGATATACCCCCGAGTAAGGACAGGTTTATAGTGTCATGAGGGTTCATGGGGCTAGACCCAGGTTTCACTTGACACCTGTAGCTTAGAGGCGTTTGAAGAAGAGGAGAGTCACATGTTGGCCTTTTAGGCCCTAGTGCTCCGATCCTGTATTGGAGACTCCATCTCCCGAGCAGGCACTGTATTTGTGTATAGTTTTATATGTATGCATGCACACATGTGCATGAGTATGTTATGTGTGAGGGCCTGGTGTCTGTGTGCCTGGCGTGCACATCTCTTTATGTGCAGGTGAGTGTTTACGAGGCCCTGCATCTCTGCATCTTTGTGTCTCAGTGTGCTTATGTGGATGTGGAGCCTGGGGGCCTTGCCTTTCTGGCCTGTGTCAGTGTGTTCCACGGGCCACTTCCTTTAACAGCTCTGAGAATCAGCAAGTGGTGGGCTTGGTGAGTCGGGCTGCTCAGGGCGGGATGTCACCTTTGGAGAGGCCTGTTTGTGCAGCTGCATTCTCTGTTTCTTTGGCCAACATACTCCCTTCTATCCCCCTCTCCTGCCAAGAGTTCAGGTTGGCTCTGGGTGACTCTGGGAACTGGATGATCAGTGGGGAGATGGGGTTAGGGAGCAAGTGGTGAGGACTGTGAGGTGCTCTCTGGTTTAGAACCTCACCTCCCCAGGAGCTCACGCAGAGAATGGGGGCCTCCAGAGGTTAGATGATAGACCGCCGAGAGCACCACATTCCCACATCTTTTCACCTTCCTTTCCTGTCGCCAGTGGGTGTTCCCTATCCTCAGCATGGCCTCCGGAGCAGGGAGGTCACATGACCCCAGCTGTCTGGTCCTGAGGCCGCCTTCCCCCCTCTAATCAAATAAACAAAGACTCCAGTGTCTTACATGCCCCTCTCCCCGCTGCCTCCCCATCCCCATGCCCCTGCCATGAGGTCACAGGCAGACGCTGCCAGGAAGCAGGGTGGCCTCTGCTGGGCCCTGCTGCCCTGCTGGTCCCAGCCAGCTTGGCCCTTTCCTCTTTCCTGCCTCTCCTCCCTCCCACTTTTTCCCCTCTCTGCCACTTTGTCCTCCCCCTTCCCAGGCCGTGTGGGCCTATTCTGTGGTCAGTCATGTTAGTAAATTAGCTCCCAGTTGGTCCCGTTCCCCTGGTGATTGAGTAGGAACCTGTATAGCCTGTGGCTCTTCTGTACCCTGGCATGGGGTGGGGCAAGAGGACCAACTTCTTGGTGTTCTGGTTTTCCTTATTCTAACCTCCTCCATGGGATGCCTGGCTCCTTCAGCCAGGATTTTCTCTTAAATTCCACTTAGCTTCATACTCCCTCCTCTAGGGCACCCCTTTTTTAGTATAGTAGGTCTTACCTGAGGACATTTTCCGCACAGGGGAGCAAAAGACCCTTCCTCAGGTGGGCTGGGCCATGGAGGCTACAGTTTGGGTTGGGTCCAGGGGTTCTGTTCTTGTCCAGTGAGGCCCCGAGTAGTGAAGAGACCTATGCAGGGTGCTGTTGCAGTGGGTGGGACTAGAACTCAGTGATCTTGATTCCCAAAACAGTGCTCTTTCTCTGTCCCACCCTTGCGCCATCTTTTGCTGAGTTCAAGGGTATGCCTCTCAACTCTCTGGGATGCGAAGTCCTGTACCAAGCAGAGCTCCACCAACTTTGGGCCTTCAAGCAGGAGTACAGCTGGGCTCAGAGGGGCTGGCCCTGGACCACTTTCTTGCAGCCCCCAACACAGGGTTGGGTGGGCCCTTGCAGAGTCCGGATGCAGCACAACCCCCTGGCAGCCTCAATGGCTGGACTGAAGCAGTTGCCAAGGTGTCCTGGGGTTTCTGACTTAACTGCAGATCTGCTGCCAGGATCTAATTTACCCTGGTCATGCAAATGAGCATTTGGCTGTGCCTGGCTTGGGGAGGTGGGTGGACCCAGGGCCCTGTATGAGGAGGAGGAGGCTGTAGCCAGGAGGAAGTTATATAAGGAGGATGCTGAGGGGCCAGGCGGACTGTGGTATTACATAACCGAGAGGGAAGGCGCTATTTAACACCAGGGCGGGGGGATGGGCGTGTTGGCCTTTCGCCCAACAAAGAAGTAGGGCATCTTGAGGTCAGAGAGTAGGCAGCAGACCAAAAAACTGCGCAAGAGAAGAAACCTCAGACCAGTTCATTCATTTATTGGCTCACTCATTTAGTGACTATTTACTGAGCGCCTACTATGTGCCAGGCCTTAGATTTGGTCATTTTAACTCCCTCAACATTCTTTGTGGTTGGTGGTATTACCCCTTTTTCCTGATGAGGAAACTGGGTCGGTTTTGTTCAGAAGGAAGGCAGTGGTGATCATTCCTAGTATGAGGTGCTCATTCTGCCCAGCTCCACATTCAACTCTTTACTTACATCAGTGATTTTCCCAGCTCTGAGCAGCAAGTCGTGGTGGTATTCTTCATTTACAGATGACGACACCGAAGCTCAGGGTTGGTCAGCTGTAAGTGGTGGTCTGTCCACTCAGAGGCCTGCTGCTCTCCCTACTGTGTGCAAAGCAGCCCCTCAGTTTGCATCACTTCTCTCCTTCTACTACTTGGGGCCTTTCGGGGAGGGGCTCTGTGCACTGCCCTCTGATTCTAATATAGAAGCTCGAAGCTGAGGTGGAAAGGGACCTAGGCATGGGGGGTGTTTGGAAGGGGAGGGTTTGGAGTGAAGGGTGATGGGATTATTTTAGCTCATCTTGACCAAGTCCCATCAGCTGAGCATATTCCCTCATCTTTATGGCAAGAGGGTTGAAACTGACCCCCAGTGCCCTCGCTCTCTCTTACAATCTATGATTCCAGGTCAGAAAGGAGATCCTGGGACTTCTTTACTTGGTATCAGGGCTAGTGCGGGGGGAGTACACTGGGGAGCTGAAGGTGGCCCTGGTTCTAGTAGGCCTTTCCCAGTAGCACCCTCTCACATCTGTCTCTTCTGTCATTATCCTCAGCCTGGTATGGATGTAGACTGTCTGTAGACTGGGACGACTATCTTCCAGAGAAAACTGTAGCCCAGGGGTCAGGTAGCTGCCCTGCATGTGTCACGAGAGCAGATCTGAGCTCTTTCCACAGGGCCAGACAGATTCTAACCCACCTCTCTGGCAGCTGCATGTTGGGAGGCAGCTCCTTCTCTGCTGGATCTGTCACTTCTCTTACTGCGAAGTCCCTGTCCCACCTGCGGTGGGTCATTTTGATTTGTTCCTGCCCAGCTGTGCCAGGGTAACCTTTAGGGTCTTGAGTGGGAAGCTTAAGCCTCTAAATGTGAGTCCTGTTAAACATCTGCCACCCACCCCACCCGTGTCCCCTCCAGGTCAGCGATATCAAATTCCAAGCACCCAGTGGGGAGGAAAAGGAGTCCTGGATCAAAGCCCTCAACGAAGGGATCAACCGAGGCAAGAACAAGGCTTTCGACGAGGTGCGCTACTGTCCCATGGACGGCTCTGGGCACATCCCACCGTGTGTGATCTGAGCGCTCCCTGCCCATCTACCTCAGACAACCCTTTGATGAAGTCACTGCCACAAACACTGGGCATCTGTTGTGGTTACCTTATTAACTTCTCACCACACCCCTCAGAGTAGGTGGTAGTGCTCCCATTTGTGAAAGAAGAAACTGAGGTGTAAGGAAATTAAGTAACTTGTTTAAGATTAAAAAGTAAGTAAGCTCTATGGCAGGTTTTAACTGATTGTAGCCATGCAGCCTTTCCAGCCCTTCTAGAAATAGTAGGTGGGCCCAGGCTGGAGAGGTCATGGGATAGGGAGTGAGCTGAGAGCCTGAAAGCTTATTTTTCAGTTTGGCCATGAAGTTGAGGCCAGGCTGACTCTGGCCCTGAGCTTCCTATCTGACTGCCATGGCTGCGCCATGCCCTGCACTGTAGTGGTGACAGTGTGGCCACGAACAGGCTTGGGGCAGAAAAGAAGTGTCATGGGGTCAGATCTCCTAGGGCGGATATCTTTGCCATTATGGATTCATAGCTATGTGGTCTAAAATGGACCTTGGATTGCAGAAGACCAAGGCCCAAGGGGAGCAAATTTTCCCAAGCAAGTCTCCTTGTAACACCCAGTTCCCCTGACTCACTGCCATGGCTCCTCTGTTGTGTCTTCTTTTTTTTTTTTTTTTTTTTTTTAAATTTTTTTTTTTTTTTTTTATTTATTTTTTATTTATTTATACAAGCACTGGGTATAGTCAGAAGCGCGGGTGGGTGAGAGAATTCACCAGAGCCAGAGCAGGGAGCAGAGCAGGCAGAAGGACCGAAGCACACTGCTGCGGGGAGCAGTGGGCGGCAGGAGAGGTCTGCGCGCCATGTGGGACCCTCCCTCAGGTGGCCGGGGAGCAGCCGGGGATCAAACCTGCGCCGCAGAGGCTGCAGGCAGCTTCACAGCCCAGCGCTCAACCGCTGCGCCACCAGGGGAGGCCCCTCCTCTGTTGTGTCTTACGTGACTATGTCATGCATAGTCTATGCCCTGCACCAGCTGGGAGAGGGGTGATGGGCCATGTTGTGGGTACTGGAGGCCACAGGAGCATTTGGGGCCTGGGCCCCAGTCTTGGTCAATTGGGGTCAGCAATGCCAACAGAGCGTTGGACCTCTAAGTGGGCCTGAGCCCTGAGCCTGAACTGGGGAGTCTTTGCTCCAGTGCCCATCCAGGACTCAGAGAGTGAGTCCAAGGGGCAGAAGCCCTCTTCTTTCCTGGGATACCCTAAGTCCTGGGAGAATGAGGTCAGGAAAGGCCTTTTCCTCCTCTCCTTGCTAAGCTCAGAAAGGGCGAGGTCTGATAGCCTATATCCAGTCAAGAAGACTGAAGCCCAGAGGGAACCTGGAGGGAGAGGGACATTCTCAGTCTTCAGGGAAATGGCATAGGTGGGGTAGAGACAGGGAGAAAATTAGAAGATCTAATTTTCAAAGAGGGGGCAGTGTTGGGGGGCACTGACCCTGGCAATCAAGGATATGGGTGCAGACCCTGCCTGTGAGTCAGGTTAGTTCCTGGGAATTATTTCTTCTCCCCAAGGAAACTGGAAACTGATGTGGAAACTAGTTGGAAACTGATGTGGTTCCCTCTCCTTCCCAGGTAAAGGTGGACAAGACCTGTGCCCTAGAGCACGTGACAAGGGACCGGGTGCGTGGGGGCCAGCGACGCCGCCCACCTACAAGAGTCCATCTGAAGGAGGTAAGGCCTTGCCCCCTCCTAAGACAGGTGGGAGGTCAGTTGAGCCTGGGATCCCATCTTCTTAGGGTGGCAGTCAGGCTTGGGGCCGTTTTTCCTGAGGCCTCCAGAAGTTGGGGCTTCCTGAGTGGTATGGGTGTCTCTGTGTTGGAGACAAGGATATTATAGTGCTCAGTGTAGATGGGCCTGCTTCACTGGTTAAGTCCACACACTGGCCTAAGCCACAGTTGGTGTCTGCGGGAAACAGACTCCAAGGCTAGTGCCTACCCCCAGAGCTCAGCTTCCAGCTGGAGAGGAGACCTGTCCACAGATGCCTCAACTAGGGCTGTGTACTGGTTTTTGTACAGAGGAGGCCTCAGGGGGTAGACAGGCAACCACAGGACCCACTGGCACATCAGCTGGCCCTGGAAGAACAGGAAGGGTTTTAAGAGGCCGACTTGGTGTGAGGGAGGTACTTGGCCAAGGAAGTGGCATGAGCTGAGGCACAAGGCGGTAGTGCCTAAGCAAGCTGAACCCCTTTAACTGGATGATGGGTCTCAGAAAGCAGGGCTATGGGGGAAGAAACTGTGGAGGTCTTGAATGCAGGAGCTGGAGGGGAAACAAATGAGAGGGTGCATTCCAAAAGTCAGTTTGAGGCCCTGAGTGGGGTGGATTGAGTTGAGACAGGGGAAGACAGGGGGCCAGGAACAGGAGGGAGTTAGTCCATCCAGGCTTCAGGTGGGAGTGAGGAGGGAGGGGCCAGTGGGGAGACAGTGAGAGACTAGTGTTACCTGAGCTGAATACGCAGCTAGAGGGGGAAAGCAGGACAGAGAGGGAGGATGGTCAGAGGTGCCCCACAAGCCTGAAGACTGGGCAAGTGGAGGCCCTGGGCGCAGGGAATTTGGGAGAAGGTATGGGCAAGGGGAGGGATAAGGGAACAGCACTTTTCATTCAGTGTTGCTGATAGGGGTGGTGGGTGGAGGGGATCGATTTTGGAGGCCAGGAAAGAACCTCAGCAAAGGCTGTATTTGGGTGTTTGGAGGGCAGTAGGGAGCCAGGGAAGCAGAGGCCAGAAGGTGAGCAGCACCTCTGGAGAAAGAAGAGCCAGAACCTGAGAGTCATTGTCAAATTGGTGGCCCCAAGTCACAAGAGGGACGGGACAGAGGGACAGGCAAGTAGTGACGCTTTCAGCACTTTTTCTCAGAGAAGGAGTGAGTTGGAACTGCCGTGGAGCGCAGAACTAGGGGTGTGGGGGAGTGAGGACCATGGAAGGAAAGAGAAGTGAAGAGGCCAAGGTCTTTGGAGGGTTCGTATTTGAGATGAGGCAGCCTGTCCATGTCTGTTAGCTGAGCAGAAAGTCTGCAGAGTGAGCGACTGACATAGCCAAAGAGAAAAGGATTGGCTGTGGGGCAGGCCTAGGAAGTGTGGGGAGGCCAGCCTTGGAGGGAAGGTGCCTCTGAGAAGTCAGGGAGGGACTCAGGTCCCATGACTGAGCACTTGTGGAGGCCAGATCACCTGTCTGCTCGTCAAATGGAGTGAGGTCCGAGGTAGGACCCCCACCATCTGAGAGACCTTGGGAGAGGCCTCCTGCCCAGCACCAGTCCAGGACCTCTGAGGCTCCACAGAGGATTCCCATGTCTGTGGGGTTGCTCGGTGTCCCTGCGGGTCCCTGGAGCCAGGTGGGGGCCAGCTGACTGCTCAGTGCAGCTCTTCGCTGGCGGTCAGCTGTGGTCTGGAGCTGCCTGTGTCTGGGACCACATCTGACAGCATGAAGAAAAGTGGGCTCTGGCTGCTGAGCATCTGGATAGGCAAGGCCTTGAGAGATCTGGGCCAGAGGGCTAGGCTGGTGCTTCAGACTAGACAGGGAGGGGAAACAGAAGTGAGTGAGCTCGGGAGACCTATGTTTGAGTCCTGGTCTTGTCGCCTGTTGGCTGTGGGGACTCTGAGTGGGTGGTTGTGGAGAGGGATACTCTTGAGGCCATATGGCAGATCGGGGTGAGAAACAAGCCTGGAAGCATGTCCCTTGTTGACCAGGCAGCACACTTGCCACTAAAAAGAGCGGCCTCTTTCACAGGCTAGAAGAAGCCTGGCTGGGCGCTGAGAGGACACCCTGGCTCTGACTTCCTGGGCTATGACTCTAAAACAGGGAATTCTGAGGGTGTGATGAGAGGAGAGGATTCATCAGAGAACCACTTCATCTTCTAATCAAGTGGCCTTGGAAGCCAGGGCAGAGGGCATGGAGAGTGAGGGCCTGGGCAGCCTGGATGGGAGGGCTTAACTACCTTGGTAAGTGGGCACACCTCACCCAATAGTCAGTCATCCAAATATGCCCATGTACTGCCCCCACCAGGTAGCCAGCGCTGCTTCTGATGGACTTTCGCGCCTGGACCTCGATGTTCCGGACAGTGGGCCACCAGTGTTTGTCCCCAGCAATGATGTCAGGGCCACCCAGCCCCGGGAGATACCCCGGCCCCCCATGCCTCCTACCAAGCCTTCCCCAGAGCCTGAGACAACCAGCCTTGATGACAGAGTGGAGACCCCTGCGGGGGAAAAGCCCCCAACCCCTGTTCCAGCTAGCTCTGAGGCCCACTCTGAGAGCCGGGAAGATTCAGAGACTCCGGTGGGGGAGGACAGTAGCTCTGAACAGCCTCACAGTGGGGTCCTGCCTGAAAAACTGAAGGTCAGCTGGGAGAACCCCAGCCCTGAGGAGCCTGTTGACCATGAGAGTGCAGCCCCATCCCAGGGGCCCTCCTCTGAGACTTCTGCAGCTGCTCCCAAGGAGAGTGGGAAGCCCCCTGCACCCCCACCCAAAATCTTATCAGAGAAACTGAGAGCCTCCATGAAGGGGATGGAGGCTTCTGGGCCAGCCCCACGAACCAGGACCTCTGAGACCTCTGCCCTGAGCCCAGAGCAGGTCTCAGTGAATGGTGTAGATGATGGTCCTGAGCCCGCCAAGCCATCCCAGGCTACAGGCACCCCAGGAACTCCCAAAGAGGATGCAAAAAAGTCCACAGCACTGCCCCTCTGGGACCTGCCAACCCAGTTCCACACCCGCTGCTCCTCCCTGGGAAACCTGCTTGGGGAAGGCCCCCGGCATCCATGGCAGCCTGGGGAACGACTGTATCGGGCCCACCTGGAGGTGAAGGTTGCCTCAGAGCAGACAGAGAAACTTTTGAACAAGGTGCTGGGCAGTGAGCCGGCTCCTGTGAGTGCTGAGACATTGCTCAGCCAGGCTGTGGAGCAGCTAAGGCAGGCCACCCAGGTCCTGCAGGAAATCAGAGATCTGGGAGAGCTGGGCCAGGAAGCACCTGGACTGCGGGAGAAGAGGAAGGAGCTGGTGACTCTGTACCGGAGAAGCGCACCCTAGGGCCTGTTGGGCCAGAGCACGGGCCCTCCTGGCCCACCCAGTCCTTCAAGGCCCAGCCCTGCTGACAAATGTGCTTCTGCTCAGGCTATAGAAGGGTCCTCAGGCACATGTGGATTGGCCAGGACCTGCAGAGACTCCTGGTATCCTTCCTGCCACTGTCCCGGTGCCTCCCAGAGGCCACTGTCTTGTAATCTGGCCCAGCCTCTGGGCTCTGAGCTCGGGCTGGCAGCACGCACTCCAACCTATGTGCTTTCGTGGTTGTTCCAAACTGCCCCAGGGCTTTGGCATAATGCTTGGGGTTTCTGGAGGGGGGTGTCATCTCCGTTTCCCACCCCCAGTAGTTTACATTCCTGATTTCTGAATAGAGCACAGCTGAGCCCACCTGCAGCCTCCATGTCTACGTATTCCTAGGCAAAGAACCTCAATGTCATCTACCCTCCCAAAGTCAGCCACCCTATTCCGAGTAGCTGTTGGGCCTGGGTCCACACAATAGGTTCAGCTGAGTGAGACCTGGAACCGGCCTCTAAGGCAGGTTGGAAAGGGTCCGTGTGAGGAAGCCTCTTGCTGTGTGTTCCCTCTCTGAGCCCAGTTCCCATTATGTAAACGAGGACGTGTCCTGCAGCCCTTCCCCTCTGATGAGATATGATTGGAGGACTCCCAGGAGAAGGAGGGACTTGAAGAATCTGCTGGTCTAGTTCCTGCCCCTGCACCAGCTTGTGCCCAGATTGGCATGTCTGTGTAGAGGAGAACCGCAGAACGCCCGGATGGTGTCAATACCAGAAAACCCTGTGTGTAATTCATTAGAAACCAACCTTCAAGAGAGAGGCCCCTCCAACTTCTGTGCCTCCCCACGTGGGTTGTTCTGTCTCATCCCATTAGGTTCAAGATCTCAGTCATTTCTTCAAATGTTGAGGGGGATGTTGGGGCCTGAAACCACTTCCCTCTCCCTTCTTTTCCCCACCCCTTGGCTCCGGCCCCGGATGGCTGCTCCTCCTGAACTTCCCAGTGGAAGGGAGCATGTTCTCCTGTGCCTTTCCTGGTCTGTGCCTGCACCCTGGGCCTCCCTCCCTCTCCACCCATTGTCCTCGGCTCTGGGAGCATATCCAGTCCCCATCCTGCTGTGGCTGCAGGACTGAGGGCAGGACCTGTAGGTGCAGAGGCTTTGAAGGTCATAGCCATTCTCTCTGGGGCCTGTGGGAGTGGGAGCAGCTTCTAGTGGCCTGGCCAGGGCAGTTCTGCATGTGCACTTTTGTTTACTGAAGGCGAGAGGAAGCAGGGTCACAACTGCACATTTTAGCCTTTCTGCACACCACCCCATCCCCAGCCACAAGTCCTGCCTACTGCCAGTGCAGGTCCAGGCTTTACTGTACTTTTACATTCACGTTGTTCCTGAGGGTAGTGGCCAGCTATCAGCAGGGGCGGATGTCCACTCTGTGGCCTGTACTGGGCAGGGGTGAGCAGTAATGCCCTGGCTTGTGAAATCCCATTGGCCTCCTCAAATCACTCTCCCTGGACAAACTGCTTCATGCCACAGTCTGCCTCTTCCTCTCCGTCTCCAGTGTGAGAGCACAAATGTCACTTGCCCCTTCTTTCTCCCTTGGGGGACCCTTTCCCCACTAGCAAGCTGTTGCTGGCCAAGTCATTTGCTCCTGGAGACTACAGCCTCGATTTCCTCTTCTGGTGACCAGGCTGGGCAAGAAGCTATGAACCATGCCGGTCGCCTAATGCCATTGGTTCCCATGGGGAGCCCCAAGGGGAAAGCCCGCTTCCAGGGGGATGACTGTGGGAACATGCAGGGGCTGCCTTGCCTGCTGCCTTGAGGAAGATGATGTTCCATGTCTTCTGCGTGTGAAGCATCTTTGTTGAAGTTTTTGCAATAAATCCACTTTGATGGAATTTTCCTGGCACAAACCTGTTTGTTGGTGTGGGATCAGCTTCAGGCTGGCCTCATGGAAGCTGAGGGTAGGTAGTGGTTAATCACTGGCATCCTGGTCCTCCAAACTCAGTTCTAGAGCCTCCTTTCCACATAAACTCGCTCGCTCAAATGGAGGTTTCATGATGTTATAAGGAGGCTTGGCGGGGGGTGGGGTGGGGTGGGGTGGGGCACGGAGGGCCAAAAGGGGATGGTGAAAGTTTCTCCCTGTTGTCATAATTTTTAAAAAATATTTATTTATTTATGCATATAAGAACTGGGGTACAGGCCAGAGGTGTGCAGGGTGTGTGAGAGGATTCACCAGAGACAGAGTGGGAAACAGAACAGACGGATTGACTGAAATACACTGCTGAGGGGAGCAGCGGACAAGACAAGAAAGGTCTGCTGTGCCATGTGGGTAGCTCCCTTGCGCCACCAGGGAGGCCCTGTTGTCATAATTTTATTAAATGACCAGGTTGGGCAGGGAGGGTGGGCAGCATTCATTTTCTCTAACCCCAGACCTCCATCTTTGCTAAACTCAGCAGAGCTTTCCAATCTCTCACCCCCACTCCGCAACTGGCCCATGTTTCTATAGACCGGGGGCTAAGACTCTTAAGGAATTGTGCTTTTGAATTAAAAAAAAAAACAAAACTTTAGTTGGGGGCCTCCTTGGTGGCGCAAGGGGTTAAGACGCGGCACTATGAAACTATCTGCAGCCACTGTAGCACGAGTTCAATGCCCGGCCAGGGAGCTACCCACGTGGCGCAGCAGACCTCTGCTCCCCTCAGCAGTGTATTTCAGTTGATCCACCTGTTCTGCTCCCCACTCTGTCTCTGGTGAATCCTCTCAACCCCCACACCTCTGGCCTGTACCCCAGTTCGTGTATGCATAAATAATCTTAAAAAAAAAAAACCTTTAGTTGAAAATAATTTCAAACTTAGAGAAAAGTCGCAAGAATAAGTATAGTACGAGGAACACCGAATCCTCTCCTTGGTTTATCTTTTGAGAGCTTTCTCTACTTCACATTGGTGTTTTTTGAAGAAAACAGCCCCCCTCCCTCCTTCTTAATAAAACATTCCATACGTGGGGTTTGTCTGAGGTTCCCTCATCATCAGACTGAGGTTATGAATTCTCAGTCAGGAAACTGCACAGGTGATGCCAGGTCCTTCTTAGGGCATCATATCTGGAGACACGTGACCGCCATCCTCCCCTCCCTGGTAATGTTGATTTTGATCATGTGGTCAAGGGATCTGATTTTTCTACTGTGTAGTTATAATTTTTCTCTTGAAACAATCTGGGAGAGATTTTAAGGCCATGCACCTATCAAACTTTCTCCCTAGATTTAATTTTGCTTGAATAGGTCTTTTCTTTGATGGTTCAAAATGCTTCCAGTTGTTAAAATAAACCTCAGTGCCTGGTTCTGCTTAAGTGTGAGCCTAAGATCTGCCTCATGCCTGAGGCACCTTAGATAGATCTCAGCAGGATCTTCACCTAGAGCTCTTTGGAAGCTTCTGGGCCAGTGGGCAGAACTCCAAGTCAGGCTGCCAAGGTTCAAGCCCCACCCAGGGACCTCAGTGAGTGTCAGCCTCAGGGCCCTCTTTGCTCACCCATGAAAGAGGGTTAACAACACCCTTACTCCTGATGTGGGAAAGCACTGCTGTGCTCCCCAAAGCCTGGCTCCCTTCCTCCCTTGAGTGCTGCTGGACAGGCCCAGTGGCCAACATAACAGGAAGCACCTGACCCGGGGCCTACTGACTGGCTATGACCCTTGTGGCCCATTTGAATTCCCCTGCCTGACATGTGACAGCCATATTGAGTGAGTGGCCTGCAGAAGTTGGGTACACCACTTCACAGGCCCCTCATCTGTGAGGAGGGTCCAAGGTAAGGATGATTGAGTGTCCCCCGTCCTGGCCCAGGAATGAGGTGCCCTCTGAAAGGCCACTTTGAAGGGAGCAGCAGCTGGGAGGTGCTGGTGACCACCATAGTGCTGAGGAAGGATGTGGTAGACAGAAATCTCCCAGTCCTGGGGGTCAGAGGCCTGTGCAGAAAAGGGGAGTCTTCCTTTTGAGTACATGTCTGTTCAGTATCTCAGTGGCCTGAAGTCCTGTGGGTAGTTGCAATGTGGGTACTGCAAACCACAGGTGACCGCATCCAGACCCAGGATGGAACTAAAGGGTCTGGTGGGGGAGGGGCACCCTATTGTCTCCTCCCCTTGATCCCCTCCCCCAAGCACTATTGTTTTTCTGGAGCCACCATATTTTGTAGCCCCCTACAAGTCCTGTCTTCCTGACTCCCCAAATGCTGTTCCCATGACCATATCATAATGTAGATGCTTCAGATAAACTCACTCAAGTGGAGGTTTCATGATGTTATAAGGAGGCTCTGGGGGAGCATGGAAGGCCAAGAGGGGATGGTGGAAGTTTCTCCCCATTGCCATAGTTTTATTAAATGATCCAGAGTTGGAGGAAGTAGCTGGATGTAAGTAGGAAACATTTGACTTTACATTTGGAGGTAGACATATTTAGATTCAAACCCCAGCCATGAATAAGTGACCTTAGGTAAACTGCCTCATTTTTTCCTCTCTTGAAAATGGGTTAACTTTCTCTTCACAGAGTTATTGTGGAACACTTAGTCTACAGCCTGCCTCACAGCAAATGCTTACTAGACCCCAGACCTATACTCATCTCTGACTGTCACCACAGTGGCCTCATGAGGAAGATGTATTTATGTTCACCCTACCCATAACAGTTGGGAAACTGCAGCTCAAACAACTTGTGTAGGAGACCGCAGTTAGTGTCAGGGCCTGGGATTTGACCTGGGGCCACAATCCGCTTCCTGCGATTTCTCTGGAGAGTCTGACTACAGATGAAGGCTAAGCCCAGGGGCCTTTTGGCTGACTTCGGGCTCCTCCACCTTTCCTGATGCCTGGACTCTCCAACAGCCAGTCATCACTCAGGGGAGATGCTCTGGAGGCCCTTTCCTTATAAGGACAACAGCTCAGCTGTGATGAAATTTCTCAGCCTCCCAGCTGGGTGGGCGGGGAAGGGAAATGACTGGCTCCAACAGCTACAGCAGAGCTTGAGCCTCCACAGGAACTCGCCCACAAGCTGGCCTCTCCCCTTCCTGTGTCAGCGCTGAGTGGGGCTTTCCAGAAGGTCCCACTGGCAGGATTGGGGAGGCCAGAGCTTGTGTCCCACAGGAGGGAAGGTGGGTAAACTGAGGCTGAGGGGCCAGAATCCTTGTAGGCCCAGCAGGAGGTATGCAGTCTGGACTCCAAGTTGTCTACTATCTACCCCAACCCCAGGAGAGAGTCCAGGAGAGGAGGCTGAAGGAGGCTCCTGGACAAATCTCTCTTTCCCTTTGGATGTTTAAGGTCAAGTCATAAAAAGGAAGGGGGTTGGGGGCTGGCCGACTTGCTGAATGACCCTATCTGCTTCCCATAACTGTGTCCCTAGTGTACTGCCCTCCCCAACAAATTTCAGCAAATCCCTCTGAGAAACTAATCATGGGATCACAGGATATAAGGACTGATAAGGATCTTTGCGACCATCTAGTCCCTGGGTGGAATGACGTGAACTTGCCTTGCATCTGTTTCACAGAGCAAATAATTATAAATACATATATAGATTTTGGGGGGGGGGTTTCCTTTGTTTCCTATAAAAGTTCCTTTTAAAGAAATCCCAACTTGTTAGTCCTGAATAAAAGGACTAAATTTTTTTTTTCCACACCCAGGTCTGGGGATTGGAGACCACAACTGGGGTTGACCATGGGGTGAGGCTGGATGCCAAAGGAGAACCAATTGTGGCAGATGGAGAATCAGTCTCTGACACTGCTGTCCACAAGATGTGTGACCTGCATCAGCTCTCCAGCCAGTCGAACCTCAGTCTCCTCTCTCCTGGCACGGTGATTTTGAGATAAATGGGATAATTTAGATAAAGCATCCAGCTCAGAATCTGGCACATAGTAGGGACTTAGTAAGACTATTGTGTTTTGGGTACCTGGTCTGTGCCAACTTTACATTTGGTGCGGTATGTTCCAAATACAGTAAGATGGAATCCTTTTCCAAGTTGCTCGCTGCCAGTCTGGGAGACATATACCCTGATTTAGAGAAAGCAATGTGATAAGTGCTGTATTACACAGGCAGATTTTGCAGTAGCACAGAGATTGATAGGTTGCTTTTGCTGGAGAAATCAGGCAAAGCCTCATGGAGGAGGTGACTTTTTCCCAGGCTTTGAAGGAGTATGAATTTACCAACAGACGAAGGTAGAGGACTTTTGAGGCAGATGGAACAGCTTATGCAAAACCACAGAGAATCACAGTGTATTACTGGAGCTGTGACAAATTCTTTGCATAGTATCCTGTAGGGGTAGGTGCTGAGGGAGTGGTGGGGGTCTGGGTGGGAGATGAGGGGACAGAAGGCAGGCAGTCTGATGTTCACCGAGAAAGCTTGGACTTTGTGCTAGAGACCAAGGAAGTTTTTAAAGAGGGCTGGGATAAGCTGTTGGGTGAAGACTGGTGGAAGTGAGACCAGCTAGAAGGTGGTTGCAGTGGACCAGGTGTGGAGTAGTGAGGGCCTGAGCTGGGCCAGTGACCCTGGAAGTGAGTGGAGGGATAAATTCTGTTTAAGAGGCAGAATGGGGGATCTGAGTATTTTGTAGATGTGAGAGACATGAAGTGGGAAGAAAGGGAAATCAGAGATGACTCATAGGGTACTGCAGGTTTGGGGGTGCCCTTTCTGAGATGGGAAGCTCTGGTGGAGAGGGAGCTTGGAAAGAGGATGGCAAGTATATGGTGGGCTCCAGTGAACTGCAAGGACTGGGCTGGGGCAAATCTGAAGGTTACAGGCCTCCAGACAGTGGTGATTGAAATCACAAGGCAGAATTATGTATTTTGTGTTACTGAGGACTAGATTTGACTGTGACTGACTGTGTGAGGAGGTTCATCAGGGCTAAATCCTGAGGTCTGAGGGAGTTAGATTACGTGCATTTCTCTCGTGAGTTAAGTCCAGCAGTAGAATTCACCTCCGTGGCAGCTCCGTGGTCATCCAGGGCCCAGTCTCTGTCTCTTACTACTCTGCCATCTTAGCACTTACATTAGGTGCCAACCCCACTTCACCACCCATGAATGACTCCAGCTCTAGTCACCACGCGTGT